AATAATAGATGAGGAGGTGTCAATTCCCGGAGAGGAAAAGCTGCTTCTGTAATGAGCCAGCCACTCCCAGTCCCTATTCAAGCCCAGATTAATGGTGTTAAATTTGCAAATTAATTTTACAAATGAATTTTAGTTCTGCTGTTTCTCTTTCATTTGCAAAATGTATTTATGGAATGCCAGCTTTCTGTTGCTTGGGCAGTCCTCTGCAGTGGAGTGGTTGGGTGCCCAGAGGCCCCCCCACCATGTTCTTGGGTGTCTGGGTGAGGAGGCTATGGAACTTGGGGAGGAGGGCGGTTGGTTACACACTCTGTGCTCCTGCTGCCTTTCCTGCACCTCAACCATACGCTGGAGCATATCAGTTTGATCTTCCAGTAGCCTAAGCATTGCTTCCTGCCTCCTCTCATCATGCTGACGCCACCTATCATCTTGATCCCACCACCTCTCCTCTTGATCCCGCCACCTGTTCTCTCGCGCGTCCCTCCTGTCCTCGTGTTCATTTTGTGCTTTCCTACACTCTGACATTGTCTGCCTCCACGCATTCTGCTGGGCTCTTTCAATGAGGGAGGACTGCATGAGCTCAGAGAACATTTCATCGCGAGTGCGTTTTTCTCGCCTTCTAATCTTTGCTAGCCTCTGGGACGGAGATGATACGGGGAGCGTTGAAACATTTGCAGTTGCGGGAGGAAAAAACAGGGAGAGTAGTCTTTAAAAAGACACATTTTAGAGAACAATGGGTAGACTCTTTCACAGTAAACCAAGCTGTTAACATTACATAGCATGTGTGCTTTCTTTACAAGGTCGCATTTTGCCTCTTATATTGAGGGCCTGCCGGTTTGGTGTGAGAGATCACACACGCAGGGCTGGCAGGCAATAGAATTCGGTTTGCAGGCAGCCACGGTAAGCCACAGTCTTTTGACTTCTTTAACCTTCATAACATGTGGGAATGGTTTCGAACAGCAGCGCCCTCATTTCACATACCAAGAACCCGTTGGGTTGGCCATTTAAAAGGAGGGGTTGCGGTTTTCGGGTTAACATGCAAGCACAAACCCAACTAAACCCCCCCCACCACCCGTTTCTCTGGGATGATCACTTCACCCTCCCCCCCCCCCCCACCGTGACTAACAGGCTTTGGGAGTACATCCAGGAGAACTTCATTGAGATAATTGAGATGTCCCTGGAGGATTTCCGCTCCATCCCCATACACGTTAACAGACTTTTCCAGTAGCTGTACTGGCCGCGAATGCATCCCAAGTCTTCAGGGCAAATTAATCATTAAGCATGCTTGCTTTTAAACCATTTATTATATTTACAAAGGTACACTCACCAGAGGTCCCTTCTCTGCCTTCTAGGTCTGGAAGTCCGCCATTGATGGAGTCCACGCACAGGGCTGGGGTAGTTGTAGGGGCACCCCTAGAATGGCATGCAGCTCATCATAGAAGCGGCATGTCTGGGGCTCTGACCCGGAGCGGCTGTTTGCCTCTCTGGCTCTTTGGTAGGCTTGCCTGAGCTCCTTAAATTTCACACGGCACTGCTGCAGGTCCCTGTTATAGCCTCTGTCCTTCATGCCTTGGAGATTTTTTCAAATGTTTTGGCATTTCGTCTTTTGGAATGGAGTTCTGATAGCACGGATTCATCTCTGAAATCTCTCCATACAGTGATCAGATCCAGTACCTCCCGTTCAGTCCATGCTGGAGCTCTTTTGCAATTCTGGGACTCCATGGTCACCTGAACTGATGAGATCTGCACGGTCACCTCTGAGCTCGCCACGCTGGTCAAACAGGAAATGAAATTCAAAAGTTCGCAGGACTTTTCCTGTCTACCTGGCCAGTGCATCTGAGTTGAGAGTGCTGTCCAGAGCAGTCACAATGGAGCATTCTGGGATAGCTCCTGGTGGCCAATACCGTCAAATTGCGTCCACACTACCCCGAATTCGACCCAGCAAGGTCGATTTCAGCGCTAATCCCCTTGTCGGAGGAGTACAGAAATCAATTTTTAGAGTTCTTTACGTCGACAAAAATGGCTTCGTTGTGTGGACGGGTGCAGGGTTAAATCGATCTAACGCTGCTAAATTTGACCTAAACTCGTAGTGTAGACCAGGGCTTAGTGTACATCCTCTCGTCCTATAAAGGTACTCTCTAGAGTACCTAGCATTATGGTGTCATAAAGAGAAGAGACAAAATGACTGAAGTGAAGGGCCATTTATACCAATTATTAATTAGGTTTTTTTGTTCTTCTTTTAGTAGTGTTCTTATGGGTGCGCCACTTCAGGTGCGCATGTGCCTGTGCACCTAAAGTGCTGCACCCTTAGGGGGACACATCTTGAAGCAATCCAGTTACTGCACCTGGTGAGTAACCTCTCCTCTTTTTTTTTGCTTTCTGGTAGATGGTGCCATAACACTAGCTGTTCTACATGTTTGCTCTGTAAGAGGGGGGAAAGAACTCTTGACAAACCAATGTACTGGAACATATTTCCTACTCTGAAGAGAACAGTTGAGTCTTTGCATTGTTTAAAACAAAGTACTGGGGGGGTGGGGAAATCAAGGTGGGAGGATTGTTTTTGATTTGTAACAATTCTTCGTATTTCTTTCAGTACCTAAGTCCTCTGTGGCGTTTGCTATTTCTGGAAATCTACAATTAACCTGAAGATTTAAAAAACTGCCTCCTATATAGAACTTTTTTTCCCCTCGCTGCTTGTGATCCAATTTATACAGATATAAAATGTCTAATTCTAAATATGTGAATGATGAAGACTTTGATGATGACATCCTCACCCAGAATGTTATTCAACAAAGCTTGCAGCATATCCATAAAAGTGAGACACTTACAGATTCTGCAGAGAGTGATAGGTAATACTTTGCTGTGGAGTATGTTCTGGCAGTTTAACTGGGAGCTATGTTACAAGCTATTACTATGTAATAGTCTATTTATGTTAGTATTTTTATATGTAACCCTGCACGATAATGCTTGCCATTGTAGACTGCATGCTTAATGTTGCTGAGGTTCATGTATAAGCTGCCTTTCCTTTTA